TTGTCAGTTTAATCTGACAGGACGCGGCGTCCTGGTGGCTCAGTAGTACATGGTACTGCTCTGTCCTCAGCTCATATATGGACTGAGATATTATCTCTCCCTCCTCTCTCTGTTTTGACCTTTTTTAGTCTTAGAAGATACAATCAATCCAAAGAAAAATTTACTTGCAGAGTTACACAGTATGAACATGGCTTTGGATGACTGAATGTTGCCAATAAATTGTACAAAAGCCTTAAGGTGAAGTAGTTTGCATTAAGTCATTTTCTGACTTAACATACCAACTGACTTTTTGAGATATTTTTTCTATGATGAAAAACACTGTGGTTGATGTATTTGTTGTGGCATCTAAAACTAGCTTTCAGTTTATATTTACAACTTTATATACCAATTATTTAACGGTTTGCTTTGCATCCAAACATCCTGAGAGTTAAAATAGCAACTGTATGTTGGTCTCTCCATCCTCCCTCCATTTCCACCGCGCCCTCTTTTCTTTCTACATTTTGTTGAATCCACCAAACTCTTTCTTTCTGGCCTTTCACAGGCTTCACCTCATCATACCGAAGCGTGGTAAAGACGACAGCCCTCATTTTCTTTATCTTCCATCCCTCCATTCTTATTTATCCTTCAGACTACAACACATAGTTTATATTCTTCCTCTTCTTTCTCCCCACCTCTTTTTTATTCAAATGTGACACTGATTCCTCAGTGCAGTCCCAGACTGCTACAAACAAAATACTCCTCTTTCTCTACACTTTCCTGTTTGTTCCTCTCCCTCCCTCTATTCCCTGCCAGCATCAGCGGGTGATGTAGTGACAAAGATATGGGTGCTGTCTTATGTCTGGAAAATTGAATCTCTCACACACACAGTCAAAAATAGATGACGAAAATGCCTGAAAATACCTCAGTACCATGACACTGAGTCCGGCCACAGAGGGCTGTCTGTCTCCAGCACGAAAAACCTCATAGCATGACTCTCCGCCACAACAACTACAACCACAACAGCAGCAGTAAACAACAGAAAATGCTCTTCCTGTGAGACTCTGAGTACCTTCACTCTGAATGGGCAACAGGAGGAACATCTGTCCTTCATGAGAGAGAACACACTAAACGTGAACCACTTCCACTCAAATGTTTGGTTTTTAAATAATTATGGTGAGGCTTGACGTAGAATTTCACACAATAAGCGACACTGACGACATGTGCAGTGCGCCTCATAAAAGTTATCCTCTACAACTCCAGACACTAAAACAACTGAACAATAAACTCTTAGCGATCCTGGTCCATGAGTCAGTCCACGTGGCAGTCACGGACCAGATGCTGTGTTCAAAACAAAGCCAACTGTGAGGGTGTCCAAGATCTGAAATGTGAGAGTCAACAACTGAAAAAATACACTTAAGGAAAGAGAGGTGAATATTACAAGTCCTACAATTCAAGTTCAAGTTCAAGTTCCCTTTTGATCAACATGGAAGCATTTTCTGATCAATAATCCCTATTGACAGTTCATCATTTGTAATTTGTCTGGCTACCGCCACATAGCAACAGCCCCCAAGCCTCATGGGTGTTCTAGTATTAAGATCTGAATATGTTAACTCGAGAAAGACTCTAGTCGACTAACAGATTTGAACCCAAAACCTTCTTCCCACTTACTGTGTGAACAGAAAACAAAATATAAGTATATAATGGATTTGACGGGCATGGTATCGAATGGTTTTCACTTGTGTCACAGCACACACTGCCTTTTTGCATGTGCAAGTTGTGTGCAGCTAATATTTTCTTGTGATTTCTGTGACCCAGCACCCTCAAAATGTTCAGCAAATGTTAATGATAACTTTCACACACACACACACACACACACACACACCCCCAGGTGGGATCCACTGCTCTGCTGCTATGGGGGACCCGCAGACCGTCAAGGGTTTATGGGATTTGTAGTGTTTCTGTGTGGCGGAGCATAGCATAAACACAACACTGACAGCATTCTTTACCTGATAGGTTAATCTCCTGTATAAGGGTTTGTGGTTTTGTGTGTGTCGTGCTGAAGTGTATTCACAAACAAATTTGTATGCACCCTTATCAGATTTGTAAAACATGGCTGCAGGCATGTCGGGTGGAAATGTTTATGTTCCTGACAAGTCAGATCTGCCTTGTGTACACAGACAGGCTGAAGCTTAAGTGTGTAATGGCTCAAAAGCTGTGTGTGTGCGTCTGTGTGTGTGTGTGTGTGTGCGCGCGCGCATGTGCACCCATCTAAATGTTGCTTGATCTTGCGTGTGTCTGCATAACTTTTAGTGAAAGAAAAAGAGTGTAAGTTTTACTGTATGTGTTAATGTTCTGTATATGTTCACATAAATGGTAATTCTGTCTGAGTGTGAGAGTCATGAGGTTTACTCTGTTTACAAAGACAGCTAGATAAGGACTCAGTCCTGTCTCCACAATGCTTTCACCGTTTCCATGTTCTCTATCTGCATGTGTCAGATGTTTTGTTTTTTTATTTCACCAAAAGGTGAAGCCAAAGTGGCACATCAGAAGCATGGCTCCTAACCCAGAGGTTGTTGGACTGAAATCATCCTCTGCTAAAGTTTTCATGGCTCTGTAGCAAACATGACATTTACTCTGTGAGTTCTTGGACAAGTAGGAAGCATATAGTCACTGCATTGGCTAGTATTGGTGCTGAAGCCAATACTATAATACTGGACCTCAGGGGCAAATGTTGTTCTATGCTGTAAATCTTGCATTTTGACAAGCCCCAGTGGCCTAATGGATAAGGCACTGGCCTCCTAAGCCAGGGATTGTGGGTTCAAGTCCCATCTGGGGTGATTTGCCATGTGTTTAACTGAAGCATTGTGGGCTCATACCCCAGAGGCTCATGGATCAACACCATCTCCTGCTACAAGTACTACCAAGAAGGTATTACAGTTATTTAGTGTTGCACTTCCATAAAGTTGGAAATATGAAAGTTCATGTTCAAGGTAACCTCTATTCCATGTCATCATCACAAGTGTCCACACAGACTTTATCTGTCAACTGTGCACACTGACCAGATGAGTGAATATGCCCACCCACCAAAAACCCGATAAAGTATATCCAGCCATTATTGCAACCGGACAGCATCATCAGACTCTCCCTGCCTAGTAGACATGTCCTTCAGATGCATGTCCCCAGTTCATAACACAGGCTTTCTGTTAAAAAATTTGTAGTCTCCAGCCCGAGCCGATATCCATATGATGTACTTTATCTCTTTATTGTTGAGTCACCACTGCCATGGTGACTTCAGGGGAAACTGGTGACTAAAGCCAATGTTTGCACTACCCCTATTCTTGCTTTATAGTGGAGCTCACTTTTCATCAATAAAACAGGTCATCTTGTACACCGTGAAGCCCCAGTGGCCTAATGGATAAGAAACAAGCCGTCTAATATTGCGTTCACATGGAATCAAGCAGACAATAGACAGCAGACAGAAAACACCACCTGGACAGCATGGGAAAAACAAACAAACAATTCGACAGAATGGCAGGACGGTAGAACTAGACATGCATGAAGATACGTTGAGATGGTGATACTGTATTGTTTACAAAAAATGGAATAAAATGTTTTATTTTTTTATGTAATTTTTCATTCCTGCTCTCGTCCACTAAAATGATATCCAGTCGAGTTTACTGTAAAGTTTACTGATTCAATATGAACGCAGCATAAGCCAGGGATTGTGGCTTTGAGTCCCACCCAGAGGATTTAAGAGCAGAGTGGCGCAGCGGAAGCGTGCTGGGCCCATAACCCAGAGGTCGATGGATCGAAACCATCCTCTGCTATGCTTTATGCTTTCAACGACTTTAACCTCAATTTCACTGATGACAATAACCCTACTAGAAACAAAGCTGTCTTTGTAGTACAGAGCAGAACAGAGGGGAAAAGCACGAACAACCGTTCATTCATTTTGCTGCAGAGAGAGAAAAAAATACTGCATTCAGGAGAGAATATTCTGTCTGTGCCTGCACCTTCCAGACTGCTCTAGTAATCAAAATGTCTGTAAAGTCTGAGTCCATCAATGCTGGGTCTCCATCTAAAGAAATAGAAATCTTCAGTGGATCTTCATTTGTAAAAGTGAACCTGTCTGGATTAGCAGCTGCAACACTGACAGACACAAAGCAACACCCTCAGGCAGCCAGCTGTGGTGCCATCTTGATCAGAATCTTGAAGCTCACGACACGGCAATCTGCAGTGTCATTTTAAATGGTACCAGAAGTTTGGCGAACTCACTTAATTCCCAGCACTCAGCGACTGAAGATGCCTGTGTTGGTGTGCAGCGCCTTTCAAGTTCTGCACTACACTGAAAGGCAGGTGATTGCCCTTCGTACATTAACAGCATTGCGTCCATCAACATTGAAAACCAGAGACTTGTACATCTGCAGTGACGAGTTCAGACAGAGAGCGAAGGGAGGCGAACATCTTAATTCACTCAAAATACACATGAAAGACTCATGCCAACATAGACCTGCTCCTGAGGACACACACACACACACACACACACACACACAGCCAACTGGAGGACACTGGCGCAAATCCTTAATAATGAATAAACTCACAGCAACTGAGTGTTGAGGCCAGTTTCCGTGGTTACCAAGGCTGAGGCACGAAGACGAACCCAAGGTGACCGACAGGGCTGTTGATCACCGTGGTAACAGTGGAGCCACGCAGACACACACATACGCTCACGCACAAAAACACACACACTGAAGCTGTGGTTGAGTGCTTCTAAATTTCTTTAGTCCTGTCCTTCGTCATTTCAAAATATTTGAGCAAGAAGTTCCAGCTCTTCATTTATCATGCTCATAAAGACAAACACACACACACTGGCTGCCTATCTGAACTCAATTCCTCCTTTATGAAGCATTCAGTGGCAGAGCTCCAGCTGCTGATGTGACCCAGTGGTTGAGGCCTGTCTGGTGTGATTAGCTTTACTGTGCATGTAATGTGCTCGTCATTTGATGCTCGTGTGTACTCACGCAGCTGGTCAAAGTGTGTCTGTAGGCCGTCTGGTCCTGGGACTGAGCACACCATACGGGCCTTCTGGAAGGTGCTCCACTTATTGACTAAACTCCTCTGGCCTCCGATGTCATTCTACAAACACAGAAAAGAGTAATTTGATGAAAATATTTCTACTGTCTGTCTACTGTAGGTTAGCCATTACTCATTATTCTCTCTTACCATCGCAAACACAATCTACTTCAAATTCAAAAACACAAACATCAATGGTTTATTTTTATTTCTAAGAATATTCTATGTGAACCCTGAAATAACTAGTCTAATGGGGATCCAAATAAAGAATACATTATAATAGCCTATTATAAAGACACTTAACTATACTTAGCAGTGGTTATTACCTAAGATTACTTTAGTTTTACCTGCTTTAAAACATGACACAGTGACATGAGTCGGCCCTAAATCGAGAAAGAGATCATGCCGGTGACAAAGCACGTATGATTTGTGAACAGGCATGTGTCCCGGCCAACAGTCTGCATCTTGTAATGTGCAACCCGTTAACTGCCTTTCAAACATGTGCATCAATCAGGTGTGAAGAGGACAGTTTTTTCTTACCAATTGTACAAAAGTTCCCCACAAATCACACAGACACAGTCTGCTGAGCACTATGCTATTACTATTGCTTCACCACCTCACTGCTATTGTCTCATTTTCCCTGTAGTGCCAGTGCTTTGTCATCCTGGATCCCTGCTTTTTTATTCCATTGTGTACATTGTCTAGTCTTGTCAATGAAGCCCCAGTGGCCTAATGGATAAGGCACTGGCCTCCTAAGCCAGGGATTGTGGGTTCGAGTCCCATCTGGGGTGATCCACTCCTTTTAAAGAGTGATGCTGCAGTAGCATGCTGGGCACATGCTCTGCTAATGGAGGTTTTACTGGCGGCTGATTGTGCTTGGGGCGTTGACACACCAAGCCAATGGTCAGCCGTCAGTAAGTCTCTGCTCTGTTTATTTATGGTGTGTCCCGCACCATTGGCACTAGTTGGCCCTTGTCAGCCCTTTTCGGCTGTTTGTCTGGCAATTCAGCATGTTGAATGAGTTCTTTGAGCTCCTCAGCAGAAATGATTTGTAATTGTTTGTGTTATTGTTCAGTACAGCACAATAAATATCATATGTTCCTCCAACATCTGGATGTGTTATCAATGTGCTAGGTGGGTAATTAGGGTCTTGAAACTGTCCTGTTGGTCCGATGGTTTCCCTTTAAATGACGAATACAGACTACTGCTGCCTGCCGGTATGGAGAGTTATTATCTCTCACGCAGGTGCAAAAGGTACATGCTAGTAGGCTGATGGCTGTAGGCTTTGCAGTGTGTTCAACGGGTGATGTGAGGCAATGAAACAGTTGGTAGGTTAATAATGTTAGCTCTTTCAGCACTGTTGCACCATCATTTTTTTGGATATACTGCTTGAAAATGGAATTAAACCAATAACTATTTTTATAAATAGTTGTTAATTAAAATTCTATCGATCAACTAAATGGTTAATCTTTGCAAATTGTGATTACTGATTGATTTTCAAAACATTTTCCATATTTTGTATTACACATGAACACACGGACGGGCGCATGTAAGCAGAATAAAACATCCATGCAAACACCCGAGTGCAGTCATGCATGTTAACACATATCCTCGTCAAAAGGCAAATCGTATAAACATTCGCAGTTTGTCACAGTGGAGCAGAAGTGACAGTGACAAACATAAACAGTCCCCTAGACACAGACTTCAAAAGGCGTATCTGTACGAGCTGGCAGGAACATCCAATCAAACATAGCTGCTCCTTTTTACGTAAACACTCTTCAGCAGGCGCAGACACACGGACTGACCAGCACGTACATACTCTACCTGTTCAGGCAAACACATGTTTACATAAACTACATACAGACAGTTTCTGATATGAACACACAGACACACAAACCTGGTCTCTATCTTTCTCCAACAAACACTCAGTACCTTGCAAACCCGTGCCACTCTGGAGTAGAGCACCTTCCCAGCGGCCCCTTCTGCCTCCTGAGCGCGCTCAGTGAAGAACACGTAGACCTTATCATCTTCTGGGTTATCAGTTTCAGACAGCGGCGCTACCCGCACAAACTGGGCATCTGGGGAGAGAGAAAGACAGGTACAACTGAGTTTACAAACTGCAGAAAGAGTCAACATGTATCTTGTTGTTATCAGCAGCAGACGTCGACACACTGGATTGATAAAACACCAACCGGGCGTGCAGGAGATGATTTTAGAGATGCTTTTTTAGAGCAAAAGTAATTCAGTTCAGAGTATTCCGTTTACAGAGCAAGAAGTGAAAGATGGTTGTTACATGTATTCATTTATATCAATCTAATGACTTGACAAACAGATGTCTATTGAAGGCATGACTGATACGGATTCAAATGTTAATGTTAATATATCATTATTGGATGATTTGATTGCTCTTAACTTGAAAACTTGTAACTTTGCACTTACCCTGTAGCCAGGTGGAGTCGTACTGTTCAGTTCGGATGACGTGACGGCTCCCGAGACTACGGAAGAAGGCAGAGTCCCGGCTCATGAAATCTGAGGTGATCCCAGCATACAGCTCTCCATCTACACAGAAATTAAAAGGTTTGGGTATTTTCAGGTAAGACAGAATGGATTTGAAAAACACAACCATAAACAGAAGTGATACCAGACTATTTCTAAAATAAAACAGAAAGATACAGACCAGATAGACCAAAACTATCGGCGCTTTAGAAATAGTATGGTTCCCTGGGAAGCCAACGATCTCTGTCACCGGTTCCCCAGCTCAGAGCACTTTGCAGTGCTTCCGTCTCCTTACTGAACCCACTAGCTCCACAGAGCTCTGTTGTCTCCACCACAAAGTGCCCCAAATCTGAAAAGCTGGCCGTGGGCATATTTCCAGCTTCGGACCATTTTGTGGTGCTTTTGTCCTTGTCTGAACCCTACATTCTCACCAAGGTGTGCTCTTAAGAATGACTGATTTAAGTCAACCCTATTTCCAACATATTCTCAAAATGGTTAATGCAACCAGTTAGCATCTTTCCATTAGATATTTGCAATGACTTTCACAAGCCATGCCTATAGTTAGTGACGCTGGCTTTCTGTTATGAATTTTTAGTCTCCAACCCAAGCTGATATCACTGACTTACTTTATGACTATTGTTGTGCCCCCTTTGCCACTGCAGTGACCTCAGGGGCCATTGATGTGTTATTGAAAGCCATTGTTTGTGTTACCACTGTTATGCTTTTGCAGTGGAACTCACATTATCAAGCCCCAGTGGCCTAATGGATAAGGCACTGGCCTCCTAAGCCAGGGAACCTCTAATTTATGCTGAACTCACTGCTACATATAATGAGCAGCTAAAATGTTATAAACACTGACAACTGTCATCATGTTACAATTCAACCTTGAGACCTGACACACCCCAAGCACTCCCCCATGAAACTCCCCAACTGCAGCGGCCCCCCAGTAGGACAACCACACCAACAGCATTGGGTGAATGAAGTGTGTAAAGCGGAATCTGCATGAATGCCAGGACACAAAGTCTTCCAGCAATACATTGCATTGTAACAAGACCATCAATATTATTTGCTATTTGCTTGCCATCTGTCAGTGGTTTTACCATTGGAGCTGAACAATGTATCTAAATAGAGATCTTCATATTTCTTCCAAGTAAAACTCAGAATACTTTTGTTGCAGGCATACTGTAACTGATTTGCACTAATATCCAGTGACAGTGTGCTTGGCTCCGAGACTTGCCAAAACTCAATACTGGGCCTGAGCACATCCTGTGTAGACACAGACGGAGCACAGAAGCTGCTGCTCTGCTAACATGTGTCTCCTGTGTAGACACGTTGTAAGTATGTTTCACTCCTCCTGCATTCCACCCACACTGACAACTAAAATATTTTGCGGCCTAAAATTAATGAAGACATTATATTGAGATGGAGTAGTGGAAAAAAAAATCCAATCACTCAAATGAATCATTGTATTAACAAAGTCAGACGTGAGCTGATTTTTCTGCAGAGGCTGCAACAACAAAGCCGTATGTTTTGCTTAGTCCTTTGTTTGAGACAGATGTCTTTTCCTCAGGTATAAGTGAACCAGACAAATTATAGCTGTTCCTATGACAAGTTATAAGTCATAGATTATTTGAGCTGTGGTTTGAGAAAAAGACAACTTACCAACGACGGCGGAGGCTGTTTTCTGGAACGGATCGTAGGGACATTTCCCTTTTCCACACTCTGTCTGGCTGTAGGAGAGAGTCTGGTGCTCTGACTAGCAAAGAAAACAGAGACACAGGTCACTCAGACAGAGTAGGCGAAATCAGCTAGACGCAAGAAAACAGGCAAGAAATAACAAGTTGTTTTTTGAGCCCGCTGAACTAGCCTGCCACACACACACACACACACACACACACATACACATACAGTGAGCAGCTAATTGAGGGTAATCAGGCTAAGTGGAGGGATTTTAAAATGTGTGAAGTCCAGTCTGAAACCAGTCAGCACCACCAGCTCCTCTAAGCACCACGTTTGAACCTCTCTGATCTCACACGGCCTTTCATGGGATTAGCTGTTCCCTGACACACACTCTCACACTCTTTAATACAAATGCTAAAGTGCACATACCTACACACACACACAAAATCACACCACGTCTCTGATCCTACATTCAAACAACTTGCACAAGTTTAAACCTCACATACATGCACACACAGACACACAGACACACCTACACCCATAACTGAGGGAATATAGACCCATTAACCTACTTCTGACAAAGTGATAACCCACATGTGTCTATATCATGAGAAATTACCAACTAATCAGGGTGGAATAAAGGAGACCCACTTGGGCTCTAGAATTACACTCACATTATATTTGACATAAAAATGTCAAACTAAAAACCTACAGTGTCCGGTGGCCCTCAGAGTGCAGCCTCAATGACAAAGGGTACATTGTATATATTACAGAAAGACTGCACAAGGTGGACCCTAGTAGAAATATGGGCATAGGGGCAGACACCACACGTATGATATTTAAGCTGCTGATAGGCCTGTGAATAGGGGCTGTGGCTGGGAGGCAGAACACACACACAGGACAGTGGGTGGCACGAACAGCACTGCTTCATTGTGAAAAAGGGTCAACTCTTTTTGTTCTGTCATGTTATTTATTTAAATTTTATTTACATATATATTATATTGTATGATCAAATATCTTAACAAACTTGACATTAGCTTGTAGGCTAGCAAACCAAGGAGCTACAGCAGATGTTCAACAACCCAGTACTCCGAAACCCCAATACTTTGAAACTTTCCACTGGACCAAAAGCCAATAGTCTGATGGCCCATTATCCTGAAAACAAAAGTCCACCTTTGTTTATTAACTTAGTTTACAGAAGGACTGTTGAAGTTAAATGTCCGCTGAATTGAAAGTCTTTCTCTATAAGTCATACAAAGGCATATGTTATGATTTATATCTTATCTGTTAAATTGAGCAATATCTTAATGTAGTCTGCAAAATAGTAAGGGCAGCAGTCACTGTACTCCAACTCCAGAGTGTGTGTTTTCTGAGCAACGGGCCTTTGGAAAAGTGGACACTGCTTACAGGATAACAGGCCATTGGTCAATGGGCTTTTGGTCCAATAGGACATTCTCACACCATTGGGGTTTCGTAATAATGGGCCTTCAGAACAATGGGCGGCTCCCTGGATGTGATGGGGTGGAAACGACCAGTAACACATCAGTTACATCCACTGGAAAATCCTGCACTAATGTAATGTTTGAAGCTGCAGTGAGGGAGATAAAAGGTATGGATGTCCTGATCAAGTTGTTTTTGGCCCTGATCCCAAACAGAGTCCTTTAATATTGAGTATCTGCTGACACAGAGTCCAATCTGATACTTAAATATATTTACATAAATGCTGATTAAGTATCTGACACATTGAAATAACAGCTGTAGCCTCGTGAGCTGTAAGCCTTTAGTCTAACTTTGGAATAGGTGAAATCACTGACTTACTTTATGACTCTTGTTGTGCCACCTCTGCCACTGCTGTGGTGACCTCATGGACCATTGTTGTGCTATTGAAAGCCAGTGTTTGTGCTACCACTGTTGCGCTTTTGCAGTGGAACACTCATTATCAAGCCCCAGTGGCCTAATGGATAAGGCACTGGCCTCCTAAGCCAGGGATTGTGGGTTCGAGTCCCATCTGGGGTGGCTTTCAGCAGAGTGGCGCAGCGGAAGCGTGCTGGGCCCATAACCCAGAGGTCAATGGATCGAAACCATCCTCTGCTAACAATATTTTAGTGGCAAATTGGCATTGAAAACATTGCAATTATACTCACTTACTGTCTAACTTTGGAATATCTTATTTTCACGAACTACTTGATCTAAACCCTCACTGGCCTGATTCAAAAATAAATTTAGGAGCTTAAATTATTAACATGATATGAATGAGAGACTAACTGGCAGAATGTGACTCCTGAAACTGATGACGCAATCAGCTGGAGAGAAAAAGTATCCCTCTGTTGTATTTATTGAAAGCACAGAAACCCTCAGCCCATATGTGGTTGTACAGCAACATGACAGAGAAGAGCTTCTTTCTGTACAAAAGATCTACTTTGGTACAGTCAGTACGCAACCAGTCATTGTGACAGAGGGACCACTTTCTAGCTGGTGAAGAGGCTACAGAAAAATATTATTTGTGTGCTTGCAGTAATACCTGTTGGAAGATGCTGGTAGCTATGAAAGCACAGCGGGGGTTGAAGGCTCCAGTGCCACAAACGTACAGGTGAGTCTGATTAAAAGGCTGCAGAACTCTCAGGAAGTTAGCACACTCCAACTGGACAGAGACACACAAACACAGAGGGACCACAATGTGAGACACAATGGAGACTGCAGAGTGTTTTTTATTACATATAAAAGGTTATTTTATATTTGCTGGTTGCACTTCTATCACATAATAACGATATTGGAAAAGAAATAAGAAAAGGAGCCACGTTGAATTTTATTGAAGTATCATCAAAAACATAAACTGAATGTTTCTCATTAGGATCTATTGCACATGTGAAAAATGCAAGTTAAACTTTGCCCAAGAGTACACACAAAAAGCATGAAGGTCTCTGGCTACACTGAAGATAAAAGTAAGGCACGTTCGCTTGATTAGCATCACCTGTTTTACTTTACTTCCCTGTCAAAATCTTTCCATTTCATCCTGTACACATCATCTGAATAAATCTAGCTGACCTCCATCTTGATATCCTCGCTAGCATCGGCGCTCTCTTGTTTGTTTATTGTTCCTGAATGAATCAGATTCATTCAACTTTAGTTCCGTTCTAGATTGTAATCTATCGACTTACTTATCTGCGACTGTCTTGATTTATTGCTGCAGAACTCGTTGGACAGTTTGTGGTGGTGTAACACTGCAGCAGGCAGCAAAGAAGCCTGATATGACCTGGCCTGTGAGCCACTGATCCATATCTGTGTAAAATTCTGTGTAAATGAATTTTCTTCCCTGTGTGACTTTAAAACCAATCACCCGCATTCATGGTATTAGACTTGGTGTGGCACATGTTGCTTTGCTTATGCAATCTAGTGTGTTTGTGAGTGTCTGTGTGAGTGTGTGTTGAATCACCTCTGGATCCTTCCCAGCCATGAGACATTCTTGGACACGGTCCGGACTGGCTGGCCAGTACAGCTACAGAGAGCGAGAGACATGCAGAAAACAAAGAGGGAAAGAAAGTAGTTTTTATTGCTCACCACAAATTTCCGATAAAAAGGCTTTTGGCACTGGCAGGTGCCTGACGAGAAAGTGAGGCCGGGAGAGTCAGCAAAACATGACTAATCTAGATGATAACGGGGAGAGGGGGGGAAAGAGGGAGATTTTATTACCTCTTGTGAGGCAGCTTAAGGGAGGAGACAATAAAAACCAAGTGGCAACACTGCTGAGTCCTAATGATGAGTCAAGCTGTCAGAGCAGCAGTGATGGTGGCAACATGACTAATTAATCTACTGTTTGACTGTGAATTGTCTTTAGCTACATGTGCACGATAATGCAACTATTGTCATTAGTTTGGATAAAGCAATCAGTTATTTTTTATTGCCTGAATTAGCATGCCTCTGGCTACATGTGTTGTAAATGTACACCATAATCATTTTGTCATTTATAGTCAGCTGCTTAGTGTGGCACTGTTGAAGACTTCTTAGTTAGGGTGCTATTTAATCCTGGTTTAAGACGCTTGAGAGCAACTGTTATAAATCCAAGGATCCAACTCGACCCAAACAATGTAATATGTCCTCTAACTTGGTTCTATGTCATGTCAGATTTGTTTTCATTTGTTACAGGTTTCTAGTCTGCCTTATGTACATTCAGTTTTATAGGATATGATTTTGTGCCTATAATGTTAAAAGAACAGCACTCTGGCAAGGAGGCAAAAATGTTGGCTGATTTGTTCTGGTTTGACAGTTCACCCACATAGAAGCAAATGTACAAGCCTCATGTCTTTTTCTGATCATCATCCAGCCCACAGACCAGTTCATTATACTTTACATTTATTTTCTTCATAATGTATGTAGGCTATTTGTCATGTGCACCACTGCCAAATAAGAAAAGACTTTTCCAGAAGTAAAAGTAAGAAAAACTTCTGTGATGCAGAAATGAGACAGGCAATGGAACCTGTCAAATGTATGGCTTAAGGGCAGATATGGAGACGTTAAGTCTTTTATGGTGCATGAGACAGTGTTTATCCACTTTTTTTAAACTGTCTAAATTACTATGTCTGAAAAAAATCCACGGTTATTTAACAATCAGGTTGCATTTTCTTTGAGCCTGTTTCATTATGATAGCGTGTGGGGTTTGTAGCTGTGAACAGCAGCTCTATAGTTAGTTCTGTTGGTTGGTCCACAGAAATTTCCCCAGTGGTGGCAACAGTTTTTTGCCCTCGGAGGCAGTAATTTGGCATGGAGGTCAAGTGTGTGTGAGTGTGAAAGTGTTTGTGTTCATGCCAACTGGCTAAAAAGGGGGCATGGCAATGGGGGAATGCATGGGTGTACATGGTCTCAGCTAATGCGAATTCACACTTGTGGATTGGTTTATCTTCAGTACAAGTAAGAGAATCACCCATGAAAAGTCCTCTTAACAGAAAATGGATGACTTCACCAGTGGACTAACTTCTCATAAACTACAAAGCCTGATGGAACTAATGTAATCAACATGTGCCCTGCATTTGTTGTCATATTAAACTGCATCGTTTGTGTGCCTGTAAACATAATCAGTACATAATAACAAAAACATTCGGAAAATTAAGTTTATTCCACTGCTTTCATGTTGAGCCAATAGTGCAAGAAAAATATGAGGTATAGATAACGAGAGAGAAGTGCGGCTTAGTGTCAAATGGCAGCTACATGACTAATCTAAATATTTCCCTGAGTCATCCCCTCAGAGACCAGAGCAGTAAAGGAGAGATTGAATTGATATGCTCAATGATCACCCTCTATTATCTCTACATTCCATACAAACTGCAGTTTACATAAGAAATGCAGAAACTTTACTTTTGTTTTAGTCCGTATCACTTTAAAAAATATCACCCAAGTGAAAACTCTGATCTCCCAGGTGTCATCACTAATAGTAAAAGAAAAAAGACATGGACAAAAAACTCTTCAGCTGCTGCGGGTTTTTGGGTTTTTTTTTTTTTGCACCGCGAGTCAATTTTCTCCACTCCATAAAATGTGACACCATTCAAGAGTGATTAATCACAAATGATGGTGCTTTCAGGAAACAATTTCTTCTGGATGTCCAGTAATTGTTCCCTGATGCAGTCATTCCCGCAGAGCCCGGTGCGGAGCCGAGACGATCAGATAAGATTAGAGAGCACGTTCCCCCCTTATCTCCAAATACCACACACTGACAGGAACATGGACCACCACTAAAAGATTCTCACCAGGTAAAGACTTTGGTTAATGGAAATTTACCTGTCTGTGAAGAGCGTGCTGGTTGTCAGTTTATACAACACACAGGAATGTGGGTTTGTCCGAAGTATAGAATTCATCGGTAGAAGAAAAGGAATTATGCAAATCAAACAAGTAAAAAATTGATGTTAAGAAATGATGACACATTTCTTCACTTTGGTAGAGAACAGTGCTGAAAAGGGCAGTCATGAAATGGAAACAAAAGAAGTAGTGAGACTGCATAAGGACCAAATATGCAACAGAAAGCCACAAACACACTCAAACCCTTGGTGACCCTTTGGTATAATGTGGGTTACCAGCTGCAGACTCACACAGAAGGAATGCCTTGAGGGTTTTTGGCCTGATCAAAGAAAAATGTGACTGAAGGCAACAGCATCACGTTTGGCACTCTGCCCTGAGCTGGGATGGACTGAAGGAACTGGTTATGTGTCCCTCTCCCTGTGCCCAATTAGTTTTATTGAGCCAGTAAGACTGCGTATATCAGTATGTGTTAGGTTAATAGTCATGAAGAAAAAGAAACCAAAAAGTCTGAATAACTTGGTCTCAACCTGCACTGATAAGAAGCTCTGGATGTCAGTAGCAGAGAAACTAAACAGAAATGTAGAGAAAATGGCACCGCGAGCGGTTTTAACACCACCAGGGAAAAAACTGCACTCGAGGTGGAACAGTATAAACAGACTATAAATACTGTATGTACAAATATATAACTTTACAGCCAGCACAGAGCTGAGTTATGAGTTGACTATGACTATCTATCCTTTTGTTGGCTGACTGCCTGGCTGAGTGGGTGGCTGGCCAGCTTGACTGCTGTCTGTCTGTCTGTTTCGCTGGTTGTTTGTCTGCTTGCCTACCTGTTTGGCTCCCTGATAGCCTGCGTGTACGTCTGACAGATGAGGGTATTGATTTGATCCGGTAGGGCAGACTTATGAAAAGGCAGCACTGTCGCTGTCCTTGCTGTGACCCTGAACTTAAGCAGACTCGTTGGCAAACCATCAACGTGTCTGTCTGGATATCATTTAGAGTTAAAGCTGCAGCATGAATCCAGATACTGCAGCAAACCTGTAACTTATATCTGATGGTCATTGTTGATGTTTTTTGAGAGAAGCAGATTGGTTTAAACTGATTTCCACACAGATTTTATGTCCCTGTCCATCTTAAAGTTGCTATGTCTCCTGATGCAAATCTGTTTGGGCTCCTGTGAGTTTGAAAACTGTTTACACTGAGGTTGGATATGTTTTATCATTTCCACCACTGGTAACTATTGCAGGAATTACACAAGGCATTTCAGAGATGGTGAGAAACTGCTAATAATTAAGCCTTCTGCCAACCGCAGCTCCAGGCTCATGGCTGTGGTTTCATGTTCACATTTATGCAGCTAACATTAGTGAGAGCCTCGAATCACAGTGTGTCTTCTGCCTCACCATCGCTACTGACCACCTCATCAGAAGGAAAGCAGGCAGCAACTCCAGAAACAGACCCCCATTCACGGGCAACAGCAACCTGAAGCCAGCCAGCACAAACCTCAGCTCCAGCCCAAACTCCATGTCAGATCAACAAACTTTCTGCTGCTGACATTGGTTAGACCAGACGCTGCTGCTGGCCACCAGCCCACTGTGACTACCGGGGCTGGGGGGATTGTGCTGGCTAAATTTGGACCGCTATGTTCTCCTGGGGAAGCAGTACACGGCAGTGTGGAGCAAGGTGGAGGGACTGTGAGGTGTATGGGAAACACTGCTTTGTGGTCATCTGGTGGGAGGAGCTTCGGACAGAAAGGGGAGAGCTGCAAGAGGATGGTGTTTTTTCAAATTCTGCCTTTTTTGACTTTTCTAGATTTCTGCCTACCCCAGCTCTAAGTATGTACACAGCCTCATTAGGATGAGTGACATGTGTCAGGGTGGGAACTTGCCCAGCTGAATCAAGACATAGCAGAGCTGTTAGAGCAGAGGAGGGGGTCTGCCTCAGGGTTGTAGGCTTCATATACTGAAGCTATATATTATTGATGCCATGTGAAAATCCTAGTCCTTAAAATTTTAATACACACTTAAAAAGAACTTGACTAAAGCACTTCATCAGAAAATGTACAAAAGCGGAAGCTTAATATATAATTTATCAATAAATTGTCTACAGGAAGTAAAATACTTCATTAACAGGCTGCACACAGGTTGCCGTGTTTCCCGATGGTTTTGAAAACGTGTGTGTCGTTGATCTGTCTTTGCCTGTGTTTAAACTTGATTCAAATTTCAGCTGTTCTGCTCTAAAAGCAAAATAGTTCTTCAGTGCCAACAAGAGCTCTGCTGCTCATCAGTGAACATGGACAGTGGAAAAGGTAGGAATGTGAGAAATGTGCAGAAAATAGGGCCTGACTGGAAGCCATTATGGTGGTATCTGTCTCTTTTGGAAAATTTTAAAAATTAGACAACAAAGGAGCTTTACACCTCATTCAGGGTGTCCGAGTAGTTGTTAAGCCATTTAGAGTACAAGCTATGAAACACATCAGAAAGGAAATACATGTACACAAATGCAGGATACACACAATGGGTTTTGGTGAGTGAAACTGAAAGCAAGCTTTGCATAGCTTTTGTTTGCTCACAAGAAAACTCCAATGGGCTCTGTTAAGTTTTACAGCTAACATGGGCTTGTCAGGCTTGTGAAATCTTTCCAAATATCCATTGGAGACGTTTTGTCAAACAGTGACAGCACAGCAGCTTTAACGGAGTGGCCAAATTGGATCGAGGTGGAAAGATGAAACAGTGGGAGATACTGTAATTCTGTGGTTAAAGCAGTGTTTCTGTCCATGTGGGAAGTTTTTATTTTGAGTTAATAAAGAAAAAAGAAACAGAAAACACATGCTGAGGAGGACAAGATGTGCATTTCTGTAATAAGAGTAAGGATCAGGGAAAGATGGGCGATCAGAGAGGATATTAGTCAGAAGGGTGTGACTTTCCTCTTCCTCATATCATCAGTAATTAGTCTCAAAGTGCTGACACATAAGTTATCTGTATCTGCTGTCATTTGGCTGTGTGTTTATGTGTATATGATGTGTTTATCTCCAAGCATTCATCAACAATCCACTTGTCTGCTGTATGTTTGGTATGTGAGTGAGTGTGTTTGTCCCACAGCTCTAACCTTGCGTGGGTTCTGCGTTATGTCGTCCAGACTGGTAGACAGCAGGTTATCTTTCATGGCCACGTACAGGCGCCTCCCGTCTTCATCAGGCAGCAGGGACTGCAGGTCACCGGCCACCAGGGGCAACGTCAGCAGGCGGCCATTCTGGATCAGCTCTGAGGCAGAAGAAAGGAAAACAAAATCAAGGTTTTTAATCAGTGGGGACTGCCTTGTTTAATTTTGAAAATGTGCAAGGCAATCTGGAAGAAATTAACACCAAATACACTTGTGATTTCTTGCAAAGAGTTAGATGAGAAGATTGATTCCTCTGTCAGTTTGTGCATTAACTATGGAGCTTGAGGAGCCACGAGTTGTTGTCTTAGCTTAGCATAAAGACTGAAAGAAGGGGAAAGAGCTAGACTGGCTTTCTAGAAGTTTCAAAATACACCCTCCAGCACTTTAAAGCCTACTCATGAAACATATTATCTTGTTGGTTTTAATCCGTACACAAGTGGGAATGTAAAAATGACAAGTTGTGGTTTCACTGGCAGTAATGACACCCAGTCTAGCTGCTTCCAGTCTTTAAGCTAAGTTAAAGTAAACTAATCAACTCCTGACTCCAGCTCCACAGAGGGGAGTAGAGCCAGTTTTTAAGTTCCCCATGGAAAATTTGAAAAAAAAAAAAAAAACCCACACATAAAACTTAATGTAAATGTCTGTTTAAGTAACAGATGGTCGGAGTTTATGAGGCCACTTATGAAGCAAACAATTTTTTCAATAGACAATCAGATAAAGTGACATGTTGGTCAAAGACACAAACTTTCCCACACCTGCATCATCTATCACACGCACTATTGTTTGTCTTGTAGCTTCATTTCTCTTATCACGCTGGACACTTGGTCAAACAAAAGAAACTGCAACATATCTTTGGTGAATAAACAAACACAGACACAGTGTACCTGATCTGCATCTCCAGACAGATTGTGTGATAACAAGCAATCTGGAAGCCCAGATAACAAGTGCGTAGATTAAATGTTTCTTAAATGATTACACTGATACACCGTGTAAACTATGAGAACTATGAGAACATCGCACGTCCGTCTCTCTTGTGTTAACTTTCGTATTTCAACTGCCAAGTGTTCTTCAGAGGATTGGACTTGGCATTGGCTCACATAGCTAAAAGCATATAAACATATAGGCTTTAAAGCAACACCAGGCATGGCTTCACACACTGGCAGCTCTAAATAGCACCGAGAGGCAGAAAGCGCTTATAAAACACTGTTTGAACTTCAAAACCCAAAAAAGTTTGGCCCATAATGTTAGTAAAATGCACACAGCATACTCTTGTTTGGCAACCTGGCCGCTCTGCGACACTTTATACCAAATGATACCAAAGGGACGAGAAGCAGAAGAGTTCATTTTCCAATCTAAGTGTATAAACCAGACCCTAAGGAGAAATACGTGATAATAACACAGCTTGTAATTAGCATACATTATTGCCCGGTGTAGCTATAGCACACAATATTGGTTCACTCAGGGGAAGATTTGTGGGAGATATTAATGATTTATCATCTTTCACTGCGGCAGAGAGCTCAGTTCTCTCTTATTAAAAGAGAGAACATGTATAGTTTTGGATCCTTCAAGTGGTGAGCATTCATGTGCTGCTTCTTCCTCTGCAGTGATAGATAACTCTCTCAAACTCAGTGTGTTTCCTCAAGCAGCTGAATCTGAACTGACACAAAGATCATTCAGAATATAATCTGGTCGATATTCCTTACAGTATCAACGTGGTGTTAACTTTCAGCATGGTTGGCCTGTACTGAGAATCAATTATTCAAACCTAGCAGCTCTACCTCACTGAATCACACAGGAGGCGCCGGATGTTGACAAACCAACTGCCAGAATAAATGGCGACATCGTATGTTTCTGCACAGTAAGTTAAATTGTATGTTGTGTACGTAGAAAGTATGTTAAAACTTAGGGTTAGGAAAAGATCATGTTTTGGCTTAAAATACCCGGTTCTGTCACCACAACTATGAACGGAAATGTCCCGGATATCTCCTTATCACCACAAACACCACTAGCCTCAAAAAGTGGTCTGCAGTGGTTTGCCGTCTTGCCTTGGTCTCACGCCATCTACCAACCCTCCTTTAGATGAGAAACTCTGCTCATACATATGTAATCTGAACTCCGTCTCTTTAGAAGCGCTGATATGATAATATGAAACATACAAATTTAATGTATCAGTGGTTTGCCGAAATTTACATTGCCAACATTTTCTTCTGGCATCTGGGCTGATGTTGAAGTATAGAGTGTATTAGAAATTCACTTTTACAAGGATCAACAGCGAATGTAAACCTGCAACAGAAAGCTAACTAATGTAGTTTGTGTTTGCACAGACATGGCTGTCTCCATCAGATTTCAGTGCAATCTGATAAAGTTAAAACCTGTTTAACTTCTTCCTCACTGATTAAACGAAAAAATGTTGAAATTAGCCAGCACTATCCTGTTGTCAAAGTCGAGTTATCAAATAGTTATGAAACGCAAAGATAAAACTTCTTCCCACGGTACCTCTGCTTTGCCACATTTACAACCCCACAAACAGAAATCTATCCATCAAAAATCTGTTTGCTGACACATCACTGTGGCTGCCTCTTATTCTATAAATTTTGCCCACACAGCCGTGCCTCTCCAAACACATGGCAATTACCCGAACTGCAGCAGTCTGAAGCAGATGTGGGATCTAAGAAAAAAGTAATGAATGACTCTGAATACCTTTAACACCCTGTTGTATCTGTTCTTTATATGCTACATATCACATTAGTTGACATGTGGGTTTGATATAAAAAAAGAAAAAACACATGGTTTGAAAAGAGTACGGAAAAGAATAGAGTCTTATACTGTAGATGAATGAAATGTGTTGAGGAGTGAACACTGAGAGGAAGGGAAGGAGAATAGTTAAATGCAGAGCTTGACGGACGTGGTGAGAAGTGGGACACTGCTGAGGTGCTGGAAATCGATCTGAAAGACTGAGAAAGAAATGAGAGGAGACCGCTGAGAAGGGCCATGAAATGGTGACAGACTGAATAAAAAATACAAGGACTGATGCAGGGATGGTAAGAGGCAGACTGGGGTGAGAGAAAGGGTAAACTCCCTGTCAGCATACCACATGCATACATATTACTGATGCATACAGCATATCGGGTTCTTCAAATTAATACTGAGGTCAAGACCATTCAAACTCTGGCAGTACCAAATATCCACACTGGAATGCAAAAAAAAAGCGTCTGTCCCCTTGTGAAATAACTGTGGTAGTCTTTGTTAAGATTTAGAATAACCTAGGACCAAAAAGACGAGTCTATTAAAGTCTTAAATAGTACCAGTGTCCTGCAGGCCAAACAGTGACAGCAGCACTCTGTTAAAAGATAACTTAAAGGTCCACCATGTACGATTTCGTGGCATCTAGTGGTGCAGACTGCAACCAACTCAAAACCCCTCTGCTCACCCCTCCCTTTTCAAGCATGCAGGAGAAACTATGGTGACGTTGTGGTGATATTACTTTGGTTTGTCTGTTCTGGGCTACTGTAGGAACATGGCGGTGCAACATAGTGGACTCCATGGAAGAGGACCTGCTCCATATGTAGACAGAAATGGCTCATTCTACACTAACAAAATCACAAAGATTCTTAGTTCCAGGTGATTATACACCAACGTAAACATAATTATGAATATTATATTACAATAATGTCAATAGATCCCCAAGATCCCCAACTACGCGGCCGCGGAGCCCCGGGGGTGGACGAGATTCGCCCTGGATATCTCAATATATCTGGATGTTGTAGGGCTGTCCTGGCTGACATGCCTCTGCAACATTGGGGTGGTGGTCCCCATCTTCAAGAAAGGGGACCAGAGGGTGTGTTCCAACTACAGGTGGATCACACTCCTCAGCCAACCCGGTAAGGTCTACGCCAGGGTGCTGGAGAAGAGGGTCCGGTCGATAGTTGAACCTCGGATTGAGGAGGAGCAATGTGGGTTTTTTTGGAACCGTGGACCAGCTCTTTACCCTCGCCAGGGTGCTGGGGGGGGTCCTGCCTCAGGTGGAGGAGTTTAACTATCTCGGGATCTTGTTCACGAGTGAGGGTAGGATGAAGCGGGAGATTGACAGGCAGATTGGGGCGGTGTCAGCAGTGATGGGGGGCTTAACCGGTCCGTTGTGGTGAAGAGGGAGCTTAGCCAGAAAGCGAAGCTCTCGATTTGCCGGTTGATCTACGTGAGGTTCCAACCCTCACCTATGGTCACGAGCTCTGGATAGTGACCGAAAGAACGAGATCGTGAGTTCAAGCGGCCGAAATGAGTTTCCTCCGCAGGGTGGCTGGGCTCAGCCTTAGGGATAGGGTGAGGAGCTCGGACATCTGGGAGGGACTCGGAGTAGAGCTGCTGCTCCTCCACATCGAGAGGAGCCAGTTGAAGTGGTTCGGGCATCTGGTAAGGATGCCTCCCGGACGCCTTCCTTAGGAGGTGTTTTGGGCATGTCCAACCGGGAGGAGACCTCGGGGCCGCCCCAGGACACGCTGGAGGGATTACATTTCCTGGTTGGCCTGGGAACGCTTCTGGGTTCCCTTGGAAGAGCTGACGAAAGTGGCGGGGGAGAGGACTGTCTGGGCTTCTTTGCTGAGGCTGCTGCCCCCGTGACCCGGACCCGGATAAGCGGAAGACGACGAAGACGAAGAAGAAGATCCCCAAGATCCTACATACTGGACCTTAGAGGGACACTTCACCCACAAAATGACCATTTCTAAATCAGTCATGCCGTGTTACCTTGGATTCATGAAAACTTTTTCTTGCTTCCCCAGAAAACAAACATAATCCAAGTCTCATTTATCCAGTTGTATGCTCAGTAGTTCCCAAACACATGGATTATTGCTAAAAACCTTAGTTTTGGAGTTTGGCTTTGAAAAGAGCACAGATAAGTTTCACTTTTGTTCAGTTTTAAGGAGTAAGGTTGTGGCAAAAATGCATGTGTTTGGAGAGTACTGAGGATACAATTGGATAAATGAGACTTGGATTATACAGCATGAGTTAATGTTAGTTTTGATATAGTTTTCCTGTTATTAAACACGGTCCCCAATCAATCAAGCAATCAATCAATAAATATGTTCACCGTTCTCTTTGGAGG